CCCTTGCCGGCCGTCCGGCAACAACTTCTGAACCAACTGACCTCAAATAGCATAACATGAACACATGAACATATTTATACTGAAAACATGAAGATTTACGCAAAGAACTGAACTTTGGCTGCGGCGGACGCACCGGGCGCCGCCGACGGTGTTGTGCCGTTTTACGACCGAACATCAACTCTTCTCGGCAATTCTAACTTTACTGAACATGATTAATAATCTATTGAATAATTCACATGAAAATGCTCGAGAATAACGAACTTAACATACTGAACAGGCAAGTACGGCCCGTGGTGCGCTACGTGCGCAACCACGTCACCCTTGGCCGCAACACCGCAAACATGACTTATCATCCGAACACTTAAGTTAAGCTAAACATGATTTGGCATATAAATGCTAAACATGCAATAATAGTTCGGAGAATTTACTTGAAACATAACATAATCGGCACGGCTACGACTTATACCACACATAACACGCATGCATGTTTAACTAAACTATCAAATGTTATAAACATGCTAATCTCGGTCAATAACCGTCGGGAGTTACCTCTGATTAAGCTCAAGTGACTACTCTTTTCGAACTCCCGTACTCGGCCGTGACCCTCCGCGTGTGTGCGACGCTGTGCGGTGGCTTGCGGTGCGGCGACGGACCACTACAACACTCGAAGATGCTTGCGTACTCCTGACCGATGAGTGATGTACTGATTGCCGTGAAGGACTACTGATACGAGTGCGATGATTGCTGCTTGCGATAGCCTACGGTGCGCGAACTACTTGCGATACGGCGCAACGGCTCGGATGTGCGATGGCGTGTGGAAAGCTTTCGGCGATTGCTCACGATCGACACTCCAAAAATCCTCACAAATTACTCTCTGTATTAGAATATTTAGGCTGAACTTATGCTAAAAATGATGGCTGAATGATGGCTTAAGCTTATAAAGAGCATAAGTGAGGGAAATGGCTTATAATGAACATATGTATAGGAAATGGTGGGAAATTTCCTTCAACCCATCCTTATATACATCCACCGAAAGGGAAAAAAAATGATGAAGTGGTTATGTGTTCACTTGGGCTTAAGACACTTGTAGAGAGCTTGGATAATACTTAAATGACTAAGCATTATATTAACTCAAAATGATGCCACGTTAATGCTCCTTAATCATGAAGAAACTTGTGATAACCACATCTTTATCCCACTAAGAAGAAAGAAAATGGGACAATACCATCTTACTTATACATATATAATGTACGGCCTTTTTAGAGAATTAATTAGAAATGACCGTACGAATTATAACTAATCTTGGATTAATTATAAATTAATCCATCAATTATGTTTAATTATTCAATTAAACATAATGCTTAATTACCAAAATTATTCTGAACGTAAACGGTACGTCGAAAATAATTTCCGGTAATTTCGACTGAACTGACTGAAAAGAATTAATTCTGAAAATTAATATCGGAACTAAAATATAATTTATACTGAAATTAACGGGACATTACACACACCAAATAATGGTTCCGCGTTCGAAAACATGTTTTTCCGGAGACGTCACTTACGTTTTCACTTTTGCCCCTATTTACCCATATTTTCCTTGACTTTTTAAACCGTATACGATTGTGCTTCAAAACACGATGGTGCAATAAAAATATTTTATCCACATCAAACAATGGTGCCGTGTTGGAAAACAAGTCTTTTCAGAGTCGTCGCTTACGTTTTCACTTTTGCCCCTATTTACCCTTCTTTTCCTTGACTTTTTTAAACGTATACGATTTGGCTTCAAATCACAATGGTGCGATAAAAATATTTTATCCACATCAATTAATGGTGCCGTGTTCGAAAACTAGTCTTTCCGGAGACGTCGCTTACGTTTTCACTCTTACCCCTATTTACCCTTATTTTCCTTGAATTTTTTAAATTTATACGATTTGGATTCAAAACACGATGGTGCAATATAAATATGTTATCCACATTAAATAATGGTGCCGTGTTCGAAAACAAGTCTTTCCGGAGACGTCGCTTACGTTTTCACTTTTGCCCATATTTACCCTTATTTTTCTGGACTTTTTTAAACTTATACGATTTGGCTTCAAAACAAGATTGTGCGATAAAAATATGTTATCCACATCAAATAATGGTGAAGTGTTCGAAAACAAGTCTTTCTGGACGTTGCTTACGTTTTCACTTTTGCCCCTATTTACCCTTATTTTCCTTTATTTTTTTGAACGTATACGATTTGTCTTCAAAACATTATGGTGCGCTAAAAATATTTTATCCACATCAAATAATGGTGCCGTGTCCGAAAACAAGTCTTTCCGGAGACGTCGCTTACGTTTTCACTTTTGCCCCTAGTTACCCTTATTTTCTTTGACTTTTTTAAATGTATACGATTTGGCTTCAAAACACGATGGTGCGATAAAAATATGTTATCCACATCAAATAATGGTGTCGTGTTCGAAAACAAGTCTTACCGGAAATGTCGCTTACGTTTTCACTTTTGCCCTTATTTACCCTTATTTTCCTTGACTTTTTTAAACGTATACGATTTGTCTTCAAAACACGATGGTGCGATAAAAACATTTTACCCACATCAAATAATGGTGTCGTGTTCGAAAACAAGTCTTTCCGGAGACGTCGCTTACGTTTTCACTTTTTCCCCTATTTCTACTTTTTTTCCTTGACTTTTTTAAACGTATACGATTTGGCTTCAAAACACGATGGTGCGATAAAAAAATGTTACCCACACCAAATAATGGTTCTGCGTTCGAAAACAAGTCTTACCGGAAATGTCGCTTACGTTTTCACTTTTCCCTTATTTACCCTTATTTTCCTTGACTTTTTTAAACGTATACGATTTGTCTTCAAAACACAATGGTGTGATAAAAACATTTTACCCACATCAAATAATGGTGTTGTGTTCGAAAACAAGTCTTTCCGGAGACGTCGCTTACGTTTTCACTTTTTCCCCTATTTCTCCTTTTTTTCCTTGACTTTTTTAAACGTATACGATTTGGCTTCAAAACACGATGGTGCGATAAAAAATGTTATCCACACCAAATAATGGTTCCGCGTTCGAAAACAAGTTTTTCCGGAGACGTCACTTATGTTTTCACTTTTGCCCCTATTTACCCATATTTTCCTTGACTTTTTAAAACGTATACGATTGTGCTTCAAAACACGATGGTGCAATAAAAATATTTTATCCACATCAAACAATGGTGCCGTGTTGGAAAACAAGTCT